CAACGTATCCGTTGGCTCTCAAGCCGTGAAAGTGGCCTCCATCCAGCCGGACTTGTTTCGCTGGTTTTGGCTGGACTTGCCGTCGGACTAATCCTTGCAGATGACATTCGCAGGCATGATTCCCGTCGAAACGGCCGGGCGACAACTGGACGACGACAGCTGGGACCGCAAAGAACCGGCCAAAGCAACGTTTGCTCGCCTTAAAGTGGAGCTGTCAGCCGCTCCTTGTGGTGCATAAATAGGGCCGCAGGAGCCTTTTTTTTTGTTTGCGGTGGGTGGAAGTTTAGGCACGACTTAGTGCTGATGCTATGTATTCACACCTGTTTACTTGATGGATGGTGTACACCTGCGGTATTCGGTTTTGGAGGAACATCACAACCGTTTTGATCGCACGAGGTATGAGAGATTGGGCCGCCGAGCTTGAGTTGACAGAAAACGGTGCGTTGGTCGGCACAATCAAATGTTGGCCACGTTTTAAGTTGAACATGAAGTTGTTTCGTGGAACACCCTTCGCCTGTTGTTTCGACCGGTTCTTGTCTCGGGATGGTTTCTTTTTCATGTATTTTCCCGAGAAATGTATGTCTTGCGCGTTGATGCGGTGGGTGCTATGAGGGAGTGGTCGCAGGACGTGCCCACACGTGTAGCGGGATTCAACTGCTGGGGTCTGTACACATACCATGATGGGTCGGAGATCCCTGGCAGGTGGTTTATTTCTTGGGGCGAGATGAAATGATAGGTGGGGCAGGTGCTGTGCGTCCAACGCATGATGCGAGATGGCTCGGTTGTTTCTGTTCTCCAAGTACTAAAATATAGCTATGCGTATTTCGTTTTTCAACCTCGTTCGGACGATTTTTTTCTCGAAGTCAAACTTGTTGTTTTTGTGAAAACACTGCTGTGGGACGAGTACGTGAATACCTGTTGGCAAGAAATATCCCTTGTGTGATAATTGGTGCTTCGTAGTATTGTACATGGAGGTTTGCTCCTATTTTGTTTGTTGCTGAAAACCATGAAATGGATAACTCACTGCGTTGACGTAGACTGGCTATTGTTATGTTGCGATGCAAACGAGCATGATATTTGTTTACGATGTGTGGATTGCATTGTCCTAATTTCATTGGATTTGCTTTTTATATGTGTGTTTAGGGTAGGGTATCCGAAAAGAGCGGAATTGAATTTCGCCGCTAGATCCGTGAAACGGACAAGTTTTGCTGCTCACGCACCAAGTCGTAGTAACGGCGTTGGCGATCAGCAGCGAGATCGCAAAACTCAACTTGATCACGATTCAAGCTTTCGTGACCGCGTGCATAAAGGTGCTGAAGGGCAGGCCATCGGCAAATGCGGCAGGCGGTTCATGACCACCTCGTGTGGCGCTAGTCTAGTGGCTGGTTCAAATGTTGTAGGCAAATTCGACGTGCGGCAGATGAGTGTCCCAATCGTCTTGCCTCTCGTTGACGAACATACCTAACATCTGAGCCATCGTGTGATTGACACGCTCCACACCACCATCGCCATCGGGGTGGAAAGAACTAGTAGTCACTTTGCGGATAGCAAGACGGAACCCATTGAACAAAAGGCTCAACGGGTAACCCCACAAATCGATACACCGGACGTCAACAGTGCCTTCGGCGATAACTTCTGCAGCCATAGCCGCGCACATATCAGCACGGTGGCTGAAACGGTCTGTGAAAAGAAGAATGGATGTGTTTCCACGTGGCGCGACCGGGCTAGGGCCAAAGCAGCCGACGACCACGAACACACCGGGGCCAGAATACAGCGGAAGGCACAAAGTAGGCCATCGAGAAGTTTGACGAGACGGTTTGCGGGCTTGGTATAGCAAACAATGCCGTACCCGCGTGCGTGCATACCCTTATGCAACCCTACAGTAGAAACCGTCGAGCATGCTAAGCGTGCCAGCTGCGCCGACGTGGCAGGACGCTTCATCATGGCTAACTTGCATGGTCCATGGACAATTGAGCATCGGAACATTAATCCGACCCGGTTCATCCTTGAGGAGGCGAGTTGCACGTCCACCAGGACGCGTGGATTTGGAAGACGGAGATGTGGTCGGTTTGTGAACTAACAAGAAAACACGCCCTCACCGCCAACGTGTAGCCGGCCTTTGTCAGACAGGTGACGGATCTCCTAAAGAGAAGATCGACGAGCGGAGGGAACATGATCCGTGAAATCCAAAGGAAGGACCAAAGGCCGACCTACCAGGATGAAACGAAAGGTTGCATCACAGACCCAGGTTCATTGCGTTGCTCGCGAGCCCAATAGTCGGCCGGGGGAGAAACGCTCAACACACGCGCCAGAATCCAGTTCCGCCGCTAAATGCAAGGCCGCCTCTTTAATAGACGAGGGAACTTGCGCCGGAGGCGAATCCGTGCGAGCGCAACCGAGCTCGGGGTAGACTCCGAAGGAACGAGGGCTACAGCAGTATCGCTGCAGCAAGATTACAGCACACGTAGGAGCTAACCGAAGATAGTTACAGTATGCGCAACCACGCACAGGAGGTAACCGAAGTTATACATGAGTAGTTGTTATTATTTTTACAATGTATGTGTAGACTCGTACGGAATCCACAGTCCATGAGCCAGCGGTTCGGTGATAAACCAGTAGGAGTGGTCGGAACCAAACTCGGCAAGGCTGGTGACGTCAATGGGGCCAGAGCGTCGTCGGAGACAGCCCGGGGGCGGTCGGGTCGCAGTCGGGAATCCGCGGCGAAGATGAAGATGGTTATTGTTGTTGTTGTTGTTGTGGTTGTCTTCACATATATAAAAAAACCGTTCCGATCTCTCTCTACCCAGTACCTTCGTATGTCCGTACTGATTAAGGAATAATAAAAACACACACAGAAAGACTACCCATTCGAGATATACCCACAGTCGAACGGGATGTGGTGGAGTCTTTTCAGTGAATGGAGGGAAACCGGCTGGGTACTGGACTTATTTCGAGTCTTTTTAAGTCTATACACTGATGATTTATACCAGTGATGCCAGCTGGTGCTAAGTACAAAAACATCTGTATAGGTAACTTACGTTTTACAATACATCCCCTGTAGTTCTCTACTGGGTCAAAGACAAAATATCGGGGAGAATCCCTCCGTTGTGTCGTGTATTGTAAAATGTAACCTTCACAGGGAACACGGCGCAGTGTCTATTGACAGCTTGCTGGTTTGTTAGACATATTAGGAATAATATTGTAAAAATCATGGAAGAAGGTGGAACGAAGTCTACAGCAGCAGTACATTGTTAAGGAGGACCCGATTCGCAGGGTACAGTATCCGTCGATTGACTTTTACCAGAATCGGTACACCTTCTTCGCATGTATATGGCATCAGCGGCGGGATACTGGTTCGAATCTCCCTGGGTGCACACTTTTTCTCCTGACTTGACATTTTCCCATGGACACAATGTGTGTCAGTCCTGAGAACACCTCTTGGAATCGATCCTATGGAGAACCTTGTGACACCTCCATCGAATTATCCGTCCTGGCCACAAGAGGTTCCCAGTTGAGGGTAAATTCTGTGGGTGGAGAGTGTTAAGGAGGACCCGATTCGCAGGGTATCCGTCGATTGACTTTTACCAGAATCGGTACACCTTCTTCGCAACATCACTCGTTTTTCAAATCTACTTTTGAATTTCACGGACAGCAGGTGTTTCCCGCCGTTTTTTTTACTGATCCAACACTCGACGCGGTCGATTCCCGTGGTCACAGGTTAACTTACCCTAAAAAGGTAACACTCAAATAAACTGGCCCCGAGGGGTCCGCAAGTCAATAGAAATCAACGACAGATAGATATTCTGGTACTTCTCCCGAGAACCATTCGTAAACTACAAGTAATTCGCAGGCGGGAGCGGCGAGCCAGCCACGATTGCCTTGCGGCGACGAGTTCGCGCAGGAAATACTTCCCTGGGGTCGAGAGTCCGACGCGGGTTGGAATTGGCCGGAAGAGTCGCCGTAGACTGAGAGAGTAGGCAAACATGATTAAGGACCCCCCCCCGTCATGCCTTTGTGAACAGCTGATGGAACTCTTTCGCTCATACGTTACCGGCTCCACTCTACCGGGACCCCTCTCGCCAAGCGTTGCTGCGTTGCTTGCTGCTCGCTGTTGGACTACTGCTGTTGGAGCAGCTCGCACACCGACACCTCTCTGTTAGTTGACGCGTGTTGGTGCGGGCTTGCTCGATGGATTCGTCTGGCCCAGAAGCGGAGCCTCTCGATGGTGGTTTCTTCGCGGCGAGAAGCCGCAGCGGCGATCCTACCACAGAAGACCTTCACGCGAGGACGTCGCAGCCAAAGGTACAAGGGCAGCAGGCTGGCTATTCCTTGCTATAGCTTACAGCGGTAGCCGATGTAGCAAACTGCAGCGGGAGGGGTTGAGCTCGCCCAATAGCGATAACCATCCCGTTAGGGTTAGCGACCTGGCCGCTGCGTAGTAGATACAGACTAGCTAGCTTTGGTTTGCCGCCGCGGCGAGCGCGCGTCGCCGTTGGGCTCTTGCGAGATTTGAAACGCGACGGAATGTCCAGTGTTCTCGTGTGGAGCGCGGGTTGACACAATGCTATAACGTACATGCAGCGGTGCACCATGCCCTGTTTCCTTTTCCCCGGGGCTTACGGTAGCTTTGTTGCTCATGAAATAATATAAGAGGCTGGCAAGCTGCTTTGCTTTGTCATGGGATGCTCACGGACGAAGCCGTCGAAAATGGTTTGTTTGCCCCTAATGTTGTTTTGTCTCCGTACATACAACAGCAGCACACCTTTGGCGGTCTCTTTCTCGGTATTCCTGCGGGATAAAATAGTTGTCGACGATGTAGAGTTTTGGATGAAATGAGGCCTCTGGCTAAGAAAAGCCTGGAGACTCCACCCAGGGTTACTATCCCCCGCGTTGACGTCCTCCGTGTCGTCAACGCGGCTATCGCGCAGAAAAAATAACTCCGGTAGCAACATCAACTACAAGAAGACCAAATAGTTGGGCGGGCGGGATGGCTGTTTCCTACTGAAGGCTTGTCACTAGTAGGTGCTCTCTCCAAGCCTCTCTGCAGGCAATCTGTTCTCATCTGCGGAACCCCTTCGCGGTTCCATGATTTCGACATTATTTTACTGCGGGATAGTTGTCGACGATGTAGAGTTTGGGATGAAATCTGCGAACTCGGCTGCCGGCGAGGTTGCCAAGGGGCGCGAGGCGTAGCCCCCAACCCGGCCCGCTATCGTTGGGTGGTGCGGCGGCATCCCGAGAGGGTGGGTGCCGAGGCCAAAAGCCCCGCCGCCGATGGCTACGTGGGGAAGCGGACTAGTCATGGCCGGTCCCGCAAGGGCGTGCATTAAGAAGACGTACGGTGACATTGGTAACGTCGGAGGTAGTAGTGGTGTCAGAAATGCTTTCGCTTTGGGGGTGACGCACGCCCTTCCGGGACCGGTCATGACTAATCCGCTTCCCCACGTAGCCATTGGCGGCGGGGCTTTTGGCCTGGGCACCCACCCTCTCGGGGTGCCGCCGCACCACCCAGCGATAGCGGCCGGGTTGGGGGCTACGCCGCGCGCCCCCCGGCAGCCGAGGTCGCAGATGGCCCAGAGCACCGCCCAGGCTACGGCGCCGGGGGCTGGGGCGGGGCACTATACTCCTGTAGGCCATCCGGTCGGACCGGGGGAGGCCGGGGGCGTGTAGCCGGGGGTAGCCGGCCGGGGCAGGGGTAGCCGCGACGCCAACGGCAGGCATGTCGAAAGGCCACTTTCAGATGTTGGTGAAGGTGCGCAACCAGCGTAATGCAGCCCTCCAACAGCAGCAGTTGGCGAACCCGGGCGTTGCGACGGAGGGGAAGGCTGTGTCGACAGTGCCAAGGCAGTAACCGCGACCCGCATCATTCGCATCTAACGTGTGCATTCTGGATCTGCCGAAAGTGTAAGGAGGGCCGCCATCGGATCAACCTATTTTTCAGTATTCCTGCATATGTACTGCTGCTGCCTCCGAGATGTCGGCGGTGTCGCGAACTGTCCCTTGTACGTGCTCGTTGCGCAACAACTGCCGATGTTTACGCCTTCTCACATGTTCATCCTGGCGTACGCTTTTTATCTTTCGGCGGCGCGCTCGCCGGCCGGACGTACAACGTCGGCATTATTACCGCCGGCGGTTGCTTCACACCTCTAATTTAAGCAAGTGTTTTCCGTGCCCGTTGCCTTCCCACGCCGACAAAACCGGCGAGTGCCCCCCCCCCCCCTTTTCGCACATCCGGCGTGTCTATCGGCTCGCCTGCTGCAACACGAAGCCGCTTGCATCCTCTCACGGCAGACGTACTCGATCCCCCTCCCGCTCTTTCCGTCAGCGTTTCAATAGCGGCAAAGCGGTCGGCCTGCGCGGCGCCAGGCGGGTCTGGGATGCCTCCTCCCCAACCCCCGTAGATGATGCGGCTCCGTCCGCCTCCCTGGGGGAGACCGCGAGCCACTGCGTGGTTCGGGCGGGGAGCGTGCCGGCCATGGTCGCCGCCGCCGTTGCCGCTGCCGAGGCTTCTGGTTGTAGGGGCCGCCTCTGCACTGGGAGGGTACTTAGCCACGGGTACGTGCATCCTCTTGATGTCTGTAGGTCTATGCAGGGTTTTCTTTTCAGAGCAGCAAACATACCCTGGATGAAGTATACGCAGGCGGCCAAGTTTTAGTTAGGGCTAGGGTCTGCGTGCCCCCTGCCTGGCCTATTTTCGTAGTAAAATTACGTTCTTTGCGCAAGCATCCTCTTCTGCCGGCCACTCCGCGTGTATCGGGGTGGTTGGGGCTGCTTGTCTGGTAGTCAAGGCGGAAACCATTCTTCTTTGCCGAAAACAAGCGCTCTTTCCGAGTCCTGCATATACTATTTTTTTATGTTTTTCTCGACAAGATGTGATGTGAATATGGCGGGGGGTGACATTGATTGAGCGTTGTTCGTTTATAGCCACGTGCCACTTGGTCAGTGTTTTTTTGCTTCAAGGTTCCCCGGTTTCCTTTCGAGCGGCAGCAAAGGGATCCCCCGCGGCGTGTTTTACGCAAGTTTGCTCTGACGTTGTTCTTTGTGCGGGCATCACAGGTGGGCCTTCATGTGCACGGACACGGGCGTGCTGGCCTGGGAACAGGGCATGGTGGCCGCGGAGAGACCGGGGGCGGCGGTCCGCGCCGACGAGGCCTGCCTTCAGTTCGAACACCCTGCCATGATGCACGAGCTGGCCATGATGGCACCGTTGGGAGGCAAGATCGCGGTCGGTTTGTTGTGAATTGTCGAGTGAGATGTCCGCAACTCTTGGGACGCAGTGTGTGTCTAAGGCTCCCGGGCTAGACGCGCTCGGTTTGGTGCCGATGGTTGAAGCTAGATGACCCGCGCGAGGCCTTGGGGCTATTTATCAGCTCCCCACGAAGAAGTGCTCCGTCGTGAAGATGTGTTTTGCGACGCATAGATCCGTCTGTTGCAGGAGTAGAGGTGGTGTGTCTGTGTGTGTGTGTGCTTTTTATTTTGCGCGCGGGGGGGGGGGGGGGGGGGGAGGGGGGAATTTGTGCCCCCCCCGGGGAACCCCCCCACCCTTGCGGTGGGGGCGGTTGCCCTTTTTTGGGGAAAGGGCCCCGTTGGGGGGAACCCCTTTTTTTTGCCCTGGGGAATTTTAAGGGGTAAGTGGCCCCGGGGGGGGGGACCCCCCTTTTTTGGGTTCCCCCTTTGAAACGCCGGGAAAAGGCCCCCTTTTCCCCCCGGACCAAACCCCTAATTTGGAAAAAATTTCCCCCCCCCCGGCCTTGGAAATGGGGGAAAAGGGCCCGTCTTTCCCAAACCTGGCCCGGGGGGGGGGGGCCCCCCCCCGGAACAAAATTAACCCCCCCCCAGGGCCCCCCCCCCACCCCTGTTTCTCCCTTTTTTTTTTCCGGGGGCACCCCCCCCCCCCCC